GATGTGGAAGTATGTGGGGATTCAGCAAAAAAACTCTGTGAAAGTGAAAGAGTAGAATTTGGATTGCCAGCCTCAACATTTCTCAGTTGTCCCCAAAAGACCTCCCTTGGTGAAAGCCCTCTTGAGAAATGGGAGGGAGGACTAAGGAGAAAGGAGGAGGCAGCATCTGTTGCTCTTCAGCTCATTGTGGCTTGCTTCAAGAGCAGGAGAGGTTGAGTGCAGCATGGTCTTGAAGGGAAATACAGTCAATTGTTAGTGCAATCGAAAAGTGCTTGGGAGATTTGGATTATCCCAAAGCTCCAGCAGAGATTTCCTGTATAGAAGAATTCACTTAACCTCTCTGTGACTCAGTTTCCCATCTGTAGAATAGGGAAAAGAAGGTGCTGCAAGAATAAAAACACTAAAGATTGCTCAGATCGTTAAAGAGGCTCTGGAGAGGAGAGTTCTTTCAGGAGTTCTGCCACCTCTAGAGATGTTCTAGTGGGCCATCTTACCCATCCCTAACACCATGTTACTTCCTTGTCCAATCTGGCTTACTAACTGTGAAAAGGCTAAACAAAGCTATGACAAATCAGATTTACCAGTAATGGTAAATAAGTGCCGATTAAAAAGTGATTCTCCAACTGTTGTTGGCAGTGCAGTTCAGTTTCTCAAGGCACTGCAGCCTCCTATACAGCACATACACAGCGACTAACAGCAGACATCTCAGTAGCCCACACATCCCCTCCTCACTCCCAGCGGGACGACACTCCCGCTTCCCTGGCTCAGCTAGCCAAGATATGCCGAGTGAGAACTTTTCTCCTCCCTCTCTGGTCCCGGTCACAGACTGCGCTCTGGTTTTTCCCGTACTGGAGCGCAGCCCCCACATGCAGCATCCTCTGGGGGAGGCAGGTGCTGCGCAGCAGTGGAGCCAGGGCGCGGGGTCGGGGTGCGGGGAGCAGCTCTGGCTCCAGTCCCGCGGCCACCGGCGCACAGTGCGCCCTCGCCCTCCCGTGCGTGAGAAACCTCTGCCAGCCCTGTCCACCACTCGAGGCAAAGCAGCTGCGGGCTTTGCAGCTCCAGAGCAGCACATCTTTGTGCAGCTCTTAAACATGCCACCCACAAGCCAGATTTCTCCACTTCTCTCCTTTCAAGCACTTCGGTTAAGCTCATCTAACTTTACCAGCTCTAGCATGCAGCACAACGCCTGTAAACCCTAGCTGGGATATTTGTGAGGAAAGACTGACTAGGAGCGAGGGCAATTCGGTGCTACTGATGCTCATCTTGCCATACCAGAGCAGAATTGCTTCTTCGACCTCGAGTCATGTAGTAACGAGGGGAAAATTTCCTGAAATTAGACTACTGCAGGAACTCTGGTTTTAGTCACAGCTGTCATCCGAGAAACAAATTTCCAGGCATTTTTAATCTAATTCACTTAATTTTTATGTAACTGAATTAGAAAATGTGATTAAGCATCACAGAATCTTTGCTGTTGAGCCTGCCTAACCTTTGGTGAAATATGAAACAGAGAAACTTATTAGAAGTAAGGGGAAATGGTGAAATCGTTTGCATGGATTTTGTACAGTGGTTACCTACTGAGTAGGAGACTAGAGATATGAAAAAGCTCAAGCAGAAACAGAAAGAAATAAGTATAATGACCTTTGTAGCTGAAATTAGTTCTTGCTGTGATTCGTTGGTGTTTCAGGGCTGGGTCAGGCCCAGAGCAGGTGCTTGCAGGAACACCCCTACCCTGGCGGCACAGTCCGTGGGTCCCATGCCTTGTTTCCCCGTGTTTCTTTCCCTTCGTGCCCACTGATCTCTCTGAGGCAGGAAAAACTCCAAGGCGAAAGCCGAAGGCTTGAAAGTAAATGATGCTCCTTTGCTGTGGCAGTGATTCCAACCCCGAGGTCTAGGCGTGAGACAAATTTGGATGAGCTAGCCCGCTCCGTGCTCATTGCTCTTCTGGGCGCTGAGTTGAAAAGGAGCTGCAGCCTCAGTCCCGGCACTGCCAGCGCAGCCTGTAACACCA